TCACTTATTTGTTTAAATAGAAAAGTTAGCTAATAAAATTTTTTGACTCACGAGATGAGAGATGTCTTGTATTATGTTCCTTTAGACAATTTTACAATAATCTCGCGGATAGGACTTTTTTCGAGTAAACATTTTATTTGCTTGGTCTACATCACAATTACCTGCATTTTGAAAATTTGTAAAAATTGGTAGATATTTTAATGTTATTTGGTTTTTAGGTATTCTCCTTACGTTGCTGTAAAGGTTAGTTATAAAAATCGTTGTTTGTTATTTCATGAAGGATCTATTTTAATTCTTTTTAATGAATTTTTACTTTAAACATACATTTTATGCCAGCAAATTTTGATAATGGCAAAAGGAAAAGTCGTACATTTGTATTTAAAGTTTTTTTCTATCTTTAATTATTAAACCTACATTTTATGGCGTACTAATGACCCACCTTGTATGTTAAATGAATTTATCATAAAATATTTAAAAAATTATATTACAAGCTGTTGAAAATACTATTACAAATTTTGTTTATTTGGACTAAGTTGACTACATAGGTACCTATTCTTTTATTGTTTAAAACATTTTTATCAATACCTACATTTAAGTAATTACAGAAACGCAAAAAACAGTCATTGATAAAAAAAATTTACAAAATAAATCCACAAGTACGCGTGACAACATTGCCAAACTGTTGTTTATATGTTGCTGGTACACACGTAGAAATGCGGACCGCTGCATTTGATTCTTCCTAAAATTCTGCTGGTGGTGTACTCTATCGGCAATTCGGAAATTTAAAACTGCTGGCCTATTCCAGTCTCTAGGCGATTTTCTCAAGAGACAATATTATTTTTAAATAACGATCTTTTCAATGTTGCTGCCCATTTTAAAAAAATACGACCACTGTTAAAGTTTTGACCGCTAAAAGGGAGATATAACCGGAGAAGTATATCGATTTGACTANTTTAATGTTATTTCGTTTTTAGGTATTCTCCTTACGTTGCTGTAAAGGTTAGTTATAAAAATCGTTGTTTGTTATTTCATGAAGGATCTATTTAAATTTTTTTTAATGAATTTTTACTTTAAACATACATTTTATGCCAGCAAATTTTGATAATGGCAAAAGGAAAAGTCGTACATTTGTATTTAAAGTTTTTTTCTATCTTTAATTATTAAACCTACATTCTGTGGCGTACTAATAACCCACCTTGTATGTTAAATGAATTTATCATAAAATATTTAAAAAATTATATTACAAGCTGTTGAAAATATTATTACAAATTTTGTTTATTTGGACTAAGTTGACTACATAGGTACCTATTCTTTTATTATTTAAAACATTTTTATCAATACCTACCTACATTTAAGTAATTACAGTAACGCAAAAAACAGTCATTGAAAAAAAAATGTACAAAATAAATCCATAAGTACGCGTGACAACATTGCCAAACTGTTGTTTGTATGTTGCTGGGACACACGTAGAAATGCGGACCGCTGCATTTGATTCTTCCTAAAATTCTGCTGGTGGTGTAATCTATCAGCAATTCGGAAATTTAAAACTGCTGGCCTATTCCAGTCTCTAGGCGATTTTCTCAAGAGACAATATTATTTTTAAATAACGATCTTTTCAATGTTGCTGCCCATTTTAAAAAAATACGACCACTGTTAAAGTTTTGACCGCTAAAAGGGAGATATAACCGGAGAAGTATATCGATTTGACTAAAGATTTAAGAAACAATACACCGTAATACTCCAAATAAATGTTCCAAATTTTAACGCGATCGGTAAAAAAGTTATGAAGTTATTAATTAAATTAGTTTTATTTTTGACAACTTTGAAGGTCTGTAACGCAAAAACTAAAAATGTTCCAAATTTTAACGCGATCGGTAAAAGGGTTATGAAGTTATTAATTAAATTAGTTTTATTTTTGACAACTTTGAAGGTATGTAACGCAAAAACTAAAAATGATTTATTTAATTTTTTTTCGTTGATCGTATTTATTTATCGTCGTGAATAATGCAGTCAAACGTTGTCGTGAAATTTGCGGACACTCTGTATACATGTACTACTTTATACTACAAACATATGTAGAAATAGATATAAATTGTATATTCAATAGACCAGTGTTATTAAATTTTACCACAATAAAAGTAATACATTTTTTTGTGGAATTATGCGAAAAGTATTTTTACACGTGATTACAATAGGCCCATTCAGTAAAATTTTTTTATTGCATATTTCAAAAGTTTACCCTTTCAATTTTTTGTTTCAACGAGAAATGTGTGAAATAAATTAATGAAAACAGAGCGCGGAAAAACGTTGAGCAACCATTGCTGACGTCATAATACCGGTACGGGCGACTGGCAGAGCACTCCGCTCGCTCTCATCCCATTCTGTGTTAATACATACGGTGTGTGGTTCGCTTGGCAGTTTCGTGAATCATTGTTTTTATATCTAAATGGGTCGAAACTGAGGATTGTACAAGTATTGGCTGCAAAAGTACTTCAGGATCGACTCCGAATAAAATATTTATTTCATTACCGAAAAATGAAAAGTTTGTGGGATGTTATCCACGGTTTCCCCAGCCACGGTATGCAACTCAATACCACCTTCGTTTTTCTTTAGTTGCACATCTAGGGGGTTGTAAAATATTATTATTTGAACATTTAGAACACAATTTTCAATTTTATGCCGGAAAACAAATTCTACCCTATGTAAATGTTCGTGTTCACAAAAAATTCGAAATACGTCGGCGAGAGGGACCTATAAGCAGTTAAGAACCACTCTCGTTTTTCTTTGGTTGTCCGTCTAGGGTTTTGTAAATATTATTATTTCAACATTTAGAGTTGAATTTTAAAATTTATACCGAAAAAAAAAATCCATCTAAACGTACCCATTCACAAAAATTTCAAAATACGTCGGCGAGAGGGACATATAAGCAACTCAGAACCACCCTCGTTTTTCTTTGGTTGCTCGTCTAAGGGGTTATAAATATTATTATTTAAACATTTAGAGCAGAATTTTCAAATTTATGTCGAAAAAAAAAATCTACCCCATCTAAACGTTCCCGTCCACAAAAATTTCGAAATACGTTGCGAGAGGCACCTATAAGCAATTTATTTAAATAATAATATTTTACAACCCCCTAGACGGGCAACCAAAGAAAAACGAGGGTTGTTCTGAATTGTTCGTACATACACGTCGTCGCATACATCCACAAGTACCGAGTCTAGTACGTTGGGTACATTTGTACAAAAATGAAAAGCAACAGAAAATGTAGAAAAGCGAACCATTTACGTCATTGAGAAAAATCCGAAGAGAAAATGTATTTAGATATTCCAAGACATTCTATGTTTATAATAAATATGTTGTGTGAAAAATGCATTTCAACAAGACTTGATGTATATCTCTTATACACTCTCTATTTATACACTTAAAAATATAGGTATATAGGTATATAGGTAAAAGTATAGCAAACATCTACACATCTCTCCGTCTGCTCGTGACTTGATCGCCGAGTGGCCGGTATTGTGACGTCATTAGCTGTTCTCTCGCAGTGTTGACCTTTTTAAGGGTCTTACAAATTCAAAATTAAATATATCACTTATTATTAATCCTATTGACCTATTTTTTTTAAGATATAATTAGGTGGTTAAATACTATCAGAAAATGAAAGAAAAAGTTTAAAATTAAATATCACTGAATGGGCCTATTGTGACAAAGAACATTTTTTAAATATATTATCCTGCTTCTTATGACGTAAAAGTTTTTCTAAATAACAATACTCTCCCATTTTTTCCCGAATAAAAATAAAATGCAATAACTAGTAAAGGATTGCTGAATAATTCTATTCGTAAGAAACTCATTACAATTTTTAACGTATTTTAATGGCGTTCCAGTAAAGTATAGTTTAGGAATTCTCTAGCCGCAACTTTTATACAGTAATCGTACTTCCCATTACACGACCAATAATCAAAGTATATCAACAGAACAATGGTTACCACGATTCGGTCATCCTCCTTATCTTTTTTCTTGATCGAAATTTACGTGTCCAACCACAACGTCCGCTAGATGGCTAATGGTTTATAAACAATGTGAAATATTTTAAGTTAGTTTTATTCTACATATTCCTCAGGCAGGTAAAAATTATCCAGAGCAATGTTCTTCTTCAAGCTCTCTGTTGTGATCCTGGCATTAACGGGATATGTGGCAGCCAAACCTTCACCATTCGTTAACGGGGTAAGTATTCTGCTTTCTACATTTTTTTTTATTTAGGCGTGGCTATATTATTCCAAAATAGTAGTGTGATCTGAGATAAACAGTGAAATTAATAGAGTAGTTGATATATTCATATGACTTAAATAACAGAGACACGCAGAAAGAAGATAGCCAGAGCTCTGTCAGTATCGATGAAGTGTCTCCAATTATTTTCGACTATACAGGATGTCCTATTTCTTCTGGGATTTTCTTAACTTAATTTTTTAATTGGAATGCCATGTATATTTTCTCAATTTCGCATTTTTTGTTAAATTTAATTTTTGACTCGTGCAAAATAGTGTACATTTTTAAGAATTGTTGTAGATCTTTTTATTGATTTTCTAATAAATCTTGTGTTTTTCATTATTATTAACTATTTTGTTCCATTTCTCTTTATCGTATTTTGACTTACTGTGATCATATTTTGATAAAAATTACGTTGCTCTAACAAGAAATTTATTTATACATACATTTAAATATTTATCATAACATTGTCGTAAATTTACGATGCTGAAGATTATTTTCATGGCCCATTTTGGTTTTAGAAATTCTGTTACCGAATCAAAGTTGACAATGAATCTCAAAAATGCAGTGCTATATAGGCTGATTCAGAATTTATCAAAAAAAAAATTGGATGTACAGGGGACTCTTACAAATATAATTTTATAGAGAAAAAATCAAAAAGGGCTGTTCGAAAATTATTTAAAAATACACTTCTGCACGGCACTGGAAACTAGTCGTACAATGTGACCAACACGGCGACGTGATAAAAACGGACAAAAACTTCGCAAGGAAAGGAATAAATAAAATTTTATAGCACCTACTTTATATCAGCACATTCAACTGCTTTTGCCGCTATTGTTATTATTAATTAATGAAATTAATTTGTGATTTTACTTAATAAAATAATTTGACATACCTGATACAACAACTGTTCAAAATTTTGTCCACCAACGTGTACTAAACACATTTCTATGAACTAACACAAATGTTGTCCCGCTTCACCGTAACTCAAATGTTTCCATAATACAAATGGTGTCTTGCTTCACCATAAATTTCAACGATATCCATCAACTTCGAGTTGCTTTACACGTAAGCCATTTTTGACACTAACTACTAAAAAAACTACTGTAAACACTATCGCAACAACGAGTGTAAAATCGGATTTCAGTATTCGGAGTCGCTGAGGCAACGTGGCTCTCCACGTGTATTGCGAATGACGCTAGAGACTACAGTTGTCCAGCGATATAATGCTTGAAAGTGTACTACAACATCAATAATTTTTTTCTCGGAAACTATAAGGATTTCACAAAATTTTTTTACGATATTGACTCCATATCTCATGCCGCATCTATTTCCAAATTTTTTTGGATAAGCTGTAAATTACCCTGTATAGAATTTTCCATTTAAAAAAGTTAAGTAACGCTCAAAAAAATGAGACATCCTGTATAATCGAAAATAATTTTAAAATATGAATAAAATATATTGATGCAACAATTATTTAAGACACTTCTTTGTATTATTGGTACTATAAGAGTTATAAAATAATACATTTTAAATTGGACACACTGTATATAATATAGGCAAAAGCGTAGCTTAGACGAATAGAAACTGATATCGTGAGTCACTATATCGGGTTAAAGATTGGCATAAATGGAATGAGTGTGGTCTAAATTAAAATAGTACCTGATTTAAATTTTAATAGAATCATTTGCATTTACATTATTATTTCAGAGAATGGAGAGTATACAGGGTGTCTCAGTTTTAATCTATGATACTTCGGATACTACGAAAAATAATGATGCTTTGTCTCATAGATTAAAACTGGACACCCTGTATATCTAAGGACATTGGAGATACAATTACTTTACTAGGCTTAGTGAAAATATTAATATGTTTAGAGAAAATGTCAACATATGTAGTACTATTACAAGTACGATTAGCAAGGCCTATATAAATTTAAATGACACCCGATAAACCTTAGTGTTGAGACAAGGCTTCCGTGGCATATTGGAAGGAGTTAAAACATATTACTACGTGCTTTTCTAAGTTTTCTTTAGTGAAACGGCGATGTTTATCACTTAATATTAACTTGTGTAGGGAAAATGACCGTTCAACGTCTACTGTTGACAACAGTATGAGAAATTGTTGAGGCATGAACTATATATTAATATATTTGCTAGTAACTCCTGATATGTATCAGACAAAACTTTACATATGTTTTCCAAAATGGTGTATCCTGGATTTTTTCCAACACTCTGCATTTTTTCTTGTATCGTTCTACTGACTGGTCGTATATTATTGCCATCGTAAATATTATTTTGTACATCATCCATTATATCAAGTTGTTCATTTAAGTATAGTCCATTTGATTCCAATTTACGGAATTACGGAATTTGGGGTTTTCTAGTTTGTTTAATGGAATATTGTTTGAATGGAAGGCGTCTGTAAGTTCATAGAAAAATACAGTCTCTAGCGCTGGACGAGGCATGTCTCTTTAAATGTATTGTCACTTTAGTTTTGTAACAAAAATTTATAATGCTTTCACACACAGTACAAAACAGGTCATTTCCTTTAATACATATGTCCCTGTAACCTTCGCGATCACTGTCAAACCGCATTTGAAATAATTCCCGTGTATTTCTTTTTTCTTTTGGTTGTTAGTTGTTAATGTAAATTATGTTACTATTTATAAATAGTTATTTAAATACACACGACAAATACAGTTTCCGTAAATAACTGAACAGTTCAAAACGCGAGTCAGCTGTGAAGGCCACCGACCCCCGCGCCGGCTCTGTTAAACTCTGCACGTGCACTAAGCCTAGTTATTACATACCCCCACTCATTACGTAAATAAATATAATTAATGGGAATATTAATAGCCACTAAAATTAACTATTAATAAGGTTAATCTTTTTTATACTAAAGAGTGTCATACACATACATCTTTATTTCAGCTGTTCATTCCTGGAATTGGAACTGTGTACGGATACCTACCTGGATACCCTCAGGGATACCCGCAAGGATATCCTCAGGGATACCCGCAAGGATATCCTCAGGGATACCCCCAAGGAAACCCTGGGTATTACCCCCAGGGAAACCCTGGTCAGTATCCTGAATACCCTCAAGGATACCCTACAAATGATTCTCCGGGAGACACCGAATCGTTTGACCCTTCCACGGGCCCAAGGAATGAGTTGCCTTGGGCAAAAGGAGGAGCTACTGAATTGGACGATTTGAACAGGTTGATCAAACGGAATCAACTGATTTACGTAGATTAAAAAATTTCATTCAAGTCGTAAATCGAACAAAGCACCCATTGTAATCTATTTTTGTAAATATATAATCATATTTATTGACACGTTATTGCATACAATAAAAAATTCATCATCATTGAACTTCATAATTCATAATTCTGGCGACATATTTAATAATTATTTATTAGTAAAGTGTACATAAAATAAAGTTTTAGTATCCTTTCCATTGAATGCTTGATTTGTATCCCTTGTAGAATTTAATTCAACCTAAAAGCAAAGATGTGGAATTTTATCAACACTAACCCTGGAAATGTGTTTAAGAGGAAGCAGATTATAAAACTTACTATGACCAACGACATTGTGGTAAACCAAGAAAAGGAAACTCTGGTTCCTATTCCTGTTCCCTCTTAAATTTGGCACAGACATCTTTTATATTACGTCATTTGTATCTTGTCTTTCGTTCAACATGAACGCATTGAAAATATTTTGTCTCGCACTAATCTTAGTGCTAGTTTGTGTTATTTTTGAGCCTACAGAATCTCGTGCGGTACCCATAAATAATTTCCACAGCGATATTATCGTCACTCATTGGCCTACTACCCCTGCCAACAAGGGACAAGCAGTTGACGACGATGTGAATGAACCAGGGTTCATGGTAGGTGTACCTTTTGTTTACTAAGCAATGTTGATAATGGTTTCTATGTAAGTACATGCAATTTAAAGATCTAAAGTACAGATAGTTGGTTCGAAAATGGTAATACAGGGTGGCCAAATGAAAACGAAACAGAGCCATTTTCAGGAACTGCGTCAAGATTGTGGAAAAAACGCTCAGACCCGTCGATTTTCGATTAAAGGGGAACATTCTTTGCTAGTATTTTTGACTCCGCCACTTTCACTCCCAAGCAAGGGTGTTTACCCCAAAATATTTAAATGGCATTGGGGGTTGAGTAATATTTCATTTAAAAGCTCTTACAATTCTCTTTAAACAGACTTTAAATTTTAAATTTCCGTCCAATACTTATTAAGAATTTTTATTTTAAAGTTGAAACTTATGTACAAACAATTAGTAATGGTAAAAATGGCAGTCATTCGAGTTAAGTACGCCAGTGGTATAAATTTAGTATTTCTTGCGTTACATTGGTAAAGAAAAACACAATTGTAAAAAACAGAACTGAATGCTATACACACAAAATGAACGTAAAATTAGTGGATTCCAAATTATTTTCTAGTATTATTTGGAAGCGTTGGTTGGTGGTTTGTTTAATTGTGTTTTTGAAAATTAATCACTATGGTTTATTCCATTGCGGAAAGGGTAGATATCATTTCGCTTTCCTTTATGAACAATAAATATGCGAGTAGAACAGCTCAGCTATTTAATTAATAACATCAAGATCGATATGCCAGGAAGAAGTATGTTCTAGAGTTAGCAAAAAAATTTCAAGAGACAGGGAACGTAGCCAATAAAAAAACGAGAAATTGAAAAACCTATAGTTAATGAAGCTAGTGAAGTTGCAGTTTTGGGACAATCTTGATCCTACATTAAGTACGAGGCAGCTGGCATCTGTGTCTGGGATCAATCAAACTAGCATACAAACCATTTTGAAGAAGAATAAATTCCATCCATACAAAATGCATTTTAGTCCAGGAACTTCATGAGGATGATTATGACCGCCGTTTGCAATTTTGCGAAATAATGAGTGAGCGAGCAGGGAACAATCCACAGTTCCTTTTTAACATCTGTTTTTCTGATGAATGCAGTTTTTTAACGGGACGGTAAATCGTCGCAATTGCCGCTATTGGTCTGATTCAAACCCAAGAGTTTTTCACGAGGTGCATACACAGCAACCGGAAAATTTTAAAATATGGGCTGGAAATTTCGGTGACCGGCTGATTGGTCCTTTTTTTCTACCTGGTAATTTGACTGGCCAAATGCATTTGCAATTACTGGAAGACGCTATTGACCCTGCCTTAACTGATATTATTGAAAATGTTCCAGAGTATGATGAAGATCATTTGATTTTTCAACAGAACGGTGCTTCTCCGCATTATGCGTTAATTGTCCGTCAATATTCGGACCAACGTTTTCTACGGAATTGGATTGGGAGAAGAGGCAGTATTGAGTGGTCTCCACGATCACCGGATTTATCGCCCCTTGATTTCTTTTTGTGGGGATACCTAAAAAGTAAAATCTATAAAACACAGCCAGCGTCGCTGGAAGATTTGCGTCAAAGAATCGCCGACGAATGTCGTCGAATAACTCCGGAAATGCTTCGGAATGTGCGCGAACGTTTTGAACAAAATCTTTATTCTTGTATGGAAGCGAGCGGTCATCAGTTTGAACATTTAATCAACTAAGTAGGAAGTAAGCAACTAAACATAATTTAAATTTTAAAATGTAAATTTTTTTTCAAAGTATTGGGCGGAATTATAAAAGGAATTATAAAATTTAAAGTCTGTTGTAAAGAGAATTGTAAGACCTTTCAAAAGAAATATTACTCAACCCCCAGTGCCATTTAAATCTTTTGGGGTAAACACCCTTGCTTGGGGGTGAAAGTGGCGGAGTCAAAAATACCAGCAAAGAATGTCCCCCTTTAATCTAAAATCGGGTCTGAGCGTTTTTCTACAATCTTGACGCAGGTCTTGAAAATGGCTCTGTTTCGTTTTCATTTGACCACCCTGTATAATGGTGTCCGAGAAAAAGAAATGTTTACATATTCAACGCTGTTGTTCTTAATTAGTATTTCATAGTTTTTAGAGAATGTTGTACAAAACTACATACTTTCTTTAAACATATGCACTACATTTATACATTTTATCCCTTGTTTTTGCTCTACAACTGCATCTAGGACCTATTACAAGTAAGCCCCATGAATATTTATATAGTAAATTTTTTGTATAACGTATTGTACAGATTCCTAGTACATTGTACATTTTTAGGAATCAAAGAATATTCGCATCATTGTTTTATAATATGAAAATAGCAGTTAATTTACATTATCGGATTGTTAATGTGAAAATATAAACATTAGTCTGTTGACTATTCCATGTTATACGTGTTTTAACGTCAATTTTGAAGAAGAAACTACATGTAATTTTAAAAACCGTATTTCTGTTTTTATAATGAAGGAATAGTAATTATAAGATTGTTTAAGCTTATTAACTAAAAATTATTGCCTACTCAATAAAAAAATATTATTGTCCTCGATAATCTATTACTGATTAATAAAATATTTACTCTCTTTTCTTATAAGATTGTATGTACACAAATTGGAGCCGTTCCTGAAAAATCGGACGAATATCCGGTGCAGCGGAATTATTAGACTTGAAGCGTTGGCCGCTAGAACAGCACCTGCCGGGGTCCCGTTTCGTGACTCACGCTGGGCGATATTTTTTGTACAAAATCCCGTCCTTAACTGTAAGCATATTCTCACAGCATACAATTACAGGTATTTTGGCTTCCAAAGTAAAATTCAGTGAAGCACTATATAATTTTTTTATTTATAGGTACCATAATTATCTCAACTAAATGATTATACAGTGTGTCTCCGGAAGGCGTACCACACTTTTGTAAACTTTTTTATTGTTGATTTTTCCAGAAAAAAAATATTATTGACAAAAAATTTTGTCTATTTTGGGAAACCTTGGGCGGTAATCAAATATGTAATAAAACATACAGGGCGTCCACAATTTTTTTTCTGTAGTTTAGAACGAAGCTACTCTTTTCTCTAATACTCCTTCCAATTTCCAGCGTAAGCAACTGATGAAGTTCGGCCAAGCTGCTAGTAACGTGGGCAATGTGATGGGGACCCATGCCACCAAGATATCCTCGGCGGTAGACAAGGTGTGTGATATCGTGAAGCTGATTATCCCACTGCTGGCGGCCATTTGTCGTGTGGGACAGTTCAAATTTTGTGCCGCTACAACTTCAGGGCCTGCTGAACTTTCCGAGGCAATGTCGCCTAGCAATCTGGACCTTAACATTCTCGATAAGTAAAACAGTGCCGTACAGAGTTTAATTCGTACACTTTTTTAAAAAAAGTGTAATGTAACTTGTACATTATTTAGTATTTGTCTGATTTAGTCAAACTTTTTTAATGGAACTCGTTGTGTGCAATCTGTAAGCAAGGAATTACCCACCCTCCTTAAATACAAGACTAAAATATGTAAAAGAAAAAAGTAAAAACTCATACCAGTTATTTGTTTTCGGAATGTTGTGCTAATAAAAGTTATTCACAATCATCCCAAGTTTTGTTGGATATACAGGGTGTCCCGTTCATGTTTCAAAAAAACTTGTGTGCAAGTTCCTCATGGAAAAATAATAGGGGTAGTTCATGTAAAGTTTTTTTCGTAGACGTCCTGTTTTCGAGATACAGTGTGTTAAAGTTGTTACTTTCCACATGGTTTTCCTTAATTATCTTTAAATGGGCTAAAGATAAAAATGTCAAAATTTGTACATGAGTAAACATCGACCGTGCGTTAAGAATAATGTGCAAACGGTTTCTTTCTGAAAAGTAGTGTCGTCGATACAGGTTATTGGAGGGGTACAATCGAAAAAAAATATGTTAAAAGTCAAAATTTATTACATTTCTAAATGGTTCTGTAAACTCTAAGGTATACTACAAAAAAAGGTATCCTTGTCGAAATTCGGTAGCATGTTCGAGAAAAATGAGGTTGCATTTTTTTCCTCACATAAAGCGGCACAAGTACATTAACAAAATATTAAATTGAAAGAGAACCTTTCCATGGAATGAGCTGAAGACATTTAGCTCAACACTATTTGCATTTAAGACTATGATTTTAATTTCTTACGTATCACATGAAACAGTTAAATTGTAAAACATTTTATTAACTAAAAAAAATATTAACTTTATTTTAAGTTTCAGCTTGTTGTAAAATAACATTTAAAAAAGTAAATCAAAATAAACGGATTGTGATAATTAATTATCTATTAATAACTAAATTTGAAACTACTACACTAACATTACTAAAATAAACAATTGTTGAATGGTCAGTCCATTCAACAATTGTTGATGATGAATGTTGATGGACATGAATGCTTAAAAAAGTGATAAGAACAGAAAAATATTAGGAAGCGTACTCGGAGACATACAGAACAAAACAGCTGCATAATTAAATAAATGAACATAACTCGAAATACTCCAGTAGATGCTGAAATTGTTCGCCATTTTCTTCTATGCAACTTCATTTTTCTCGAAAATGTTACATGCTACAGAATTTCAACAAGTATACCTTTTTTGTGTAGTATGCTTTAGAGTTTACAGAACCATTTAGAAATGTAATAAATTTTGACTTTTAACATAATTTTTTTTCGATTTACCCCTCCAATTACCTGTATCGGCGACACTGCTTTTCAGAAAGAAACCGTTTGCACATTATTCTTAACGCACGGTTAATGTCTACTCATGTACAAATTTTGACATTTTTATCTTTATCCGATTTAATTATTTTTATTAAGGAAAACCATTTGAAAAGTAACAACTTTAACACACTGTATCTCGAAAACAAAGCGTCTAAGAAAAAAAATTTATATGAACTACCCCTATTATTTTTCCATGAGGAATTTGCACACAAGTATTTTGAAACATGAACGGGACACTCTGTATGTATAGCAGTTAAATTTACAGTAACAAATACGTTAGTACTTAGGATGAAAATTTTAATAATAAAAATATATACATTATATTTTTTAAAAAAGAAAATTAGTAGCAATATTTTCAATAACTTATAATATCATAAATGATAATTATTTGTACTAAAAAAAAACAGAAGCTGGTTGTTTCCAACAGAATGGATAATTAAATATACATAAAGTTGTTTTATATTTATGTACCAATTTTTGAATCAATAAATTAATCAAGAAACTGGCCAAATTTCATTGTTGTGTTAAATACATAAATTGGAAACCATAAAATTGGTTCCAATTTATTATCATTTTAGTGACATTTAATATGTAGATATTATCAGTATAGTACCCACTTTAATTCTTGAAATTTATTTTAATTTTTCATATTGTTTTATATATGCCTAATTTGTTACTGCAGTTACCTTAGTTTAAATAAATTTTTAAGCTACTGTAGTTTTTTTCTTATTATTAATTCAATTAAATTCAAAGATTTTTCTAAGAATCCTAGTATATAAAAAACAGCTAATAACACAGATCCAAAAGTGGTTTTGTTTGTTCTAGGCAGCTGAGGGTCATTTCCCAAGTAATTTTTTGCGTAGAATCCTAATCCAACCCTAGAACTGCTGCATCACGTCACGCTTCCGAGATATCCTAACCTAAAAGTGAAAACGATTCATGTCATTTAAAAGTTGAAAGGCGGGCTCGAGAAACAGGCAAATAATTTCTATGAGCATAGATCCAAAATTGCATGAGAGAAAATGTCATATTTTGAAACAAGTTTGAGTAAACGTTCGGAAATTTGGTAAAGAGAAAGGATAGGAAAACATTTAATGAAACAAAATTGAACATCTCTTTTATTGTAAGACAGAATGCAGAACGTTTCACAATGCCTGAAACATTAAAATATGCAGCTGAAAATGTTGTTGCAGCTGCTAAATTGATACATCAATTAAAATATAGGTAAATTAAGTCATACTCGGCTTGCCTTAACTGTATATACTGGGTTTTCCATGTTGCTGGAAGAAAACCCTCAAAAAATTGTAGGACATTTACTTAGGAACTTAGATATATAAAATATGTTTTGTTTATATAATATTTATAACAATTATTTAATAACGGGACAATTCTTTTTCCAAAGTAAAGTAAGGCTATATTTATATAGTTATATGTGTTTCTTTTATTAAAGGTTCGGTGATGTATCAGCTAAATCTACAGCAATTTTATGGATCATATTTATCTACAAACAAATTCTTTTTTTGTATTTGATTCTTCAAATAATTTACAATGGGGCCACGGGCCCCCCAAACGTAGCTGCAAGCTTCATAGAGTGTTTAGGTTTTGAAATTTGATATCAGTAAGTCGCTGATTGACCGACCTTTTTTTTAGAATCGAACAAACAAGTGTTTAGGATTTTTCTTAGGTCTTATAGAGCTTTCTGGGCCCACCCCTAGCAAAAATCCTAGCTACGCCCATGACCCGATATGAAATAAGAGAATAAGGTTACTTACTAAAAACATATATTGCACGAAACAAGAGGTATATTCCATTGTAAGATTACATAAACTTAAGAAAGAAAAAAATGGTCCCATAAAAAAGGATTCAAAGAAGGAAAGGCGGCCGAAATTAATAGGGCAGTTTGACAATTCCCCGAATCGCTCGATTGGATTTCTTCCCTGAAAGTTATTTAATGCTCACCTAGCTTAATTCCCTCTATTCCATTGTATCCGGGTCACATATTCTCGATCCGAAAGAGCTAACGCGCGGAAACGAGCTCTCAATTCAATCAGGTCTCCATTCTATTTGTAGAGCTCGCGGCCCGATGCGCACTTGTTATACCTTGGAAGGGACTTTTCGGATTCCCGCTTCTAATCTCTTATTTAAGGCCCTCCTCCCTCTGACAGACAGCACCATGTATCACATTTTCCATCTGTTGATGTAGAGTGCCTCCTAACGCAGCAGAATTTTATTCGAAGTTAAAATTCAACGTTACTAGATTATACAAGATGCAACTTTAAGTGGGAGTCATTTTTTAAAGAGTAATATAGTGCCGAATTATAATTAGTTTTTTAATGTGGATTTTATTTCTTGTTTACGCTGTCATGGGCAGTGTAAACCGGGATTCTCAGAATTAGCGTGGTAAGATTTATCGATGCACTACAGCGTTCCAAAAACAACGTAACAACGCCTGTGAGAAGCAGAGTTTAAAGGAAAGTCATTTATTTTTTCCTAATTCTTTGACCCTGTTATATTCTATCTGCATAATTTATTTATCACTTGTTAACACTCAGTACATTGAGAAAACAGAATAGAGTGACTATATCAAATAAAAGCCCAATATCTATAGATGAATCTGGTATACATATCCTGGGAAGACGAGTAACTGCATAGAAGATATTTCAATTGAACTTAAGTCATTATATGAAAATTTTTATCAGTTGTCAAATTAAATTATAATTTTCACAAATATCAAAACTAAAGTTGGCTTTACAAGTACATGGAGATGACCTATAAAAAACATAAAATAAGGAATATTTTAATAATTAATGATAGAATTGTATGTAAAAAAAAGGACATTTGTAAAAAATTTATTAGTTATAAGGAGTGTAGTGAAAAAAAAAGACATCCAAGGACTGAAAATTCTGTAAAGGGACCTTAAGCAAAATTAGGACCAGAAAAATCCAGAAAGGATGAAAAACAAAAGTTTATTGATTGGTTACGGCTTGGGTTTTTCGAGAATGCAGAGTAGAGAGGCAGCTCCAATAGTCCAGAGAGGTTTCCAGTGGCCCCATAAATGGTATACAGGACATCTACGTAGTTTCCAACAAGCAAATATGCAAGCTAGCAAATACCTACCTAAAATAAAAATAAAGTGCATATATACAAAACAGATAGCTATAACCTATAAATAATACTTTTCTATCGCATCAAACCTTAGAAAAAGGATGCAGAATAAACTATAGAACTTACCTGAATAAAAATAAATACAAGCAAATCAATCCTATATTTAAAAACTTCACAAAATCCATGAGCTCGAACCAATTTATCAGTAAGGGCAGCCATGTTTAATTAGAGTTGAATTTTCTGTCAGTAAACAAGAGATTATGCCCTGTAAGATAGGCAAAATGCAATACAAAGAGATGTATTAAAAATTGAATAATTTGAATTAATTGTTAATACCGTAAAAATTTTCTTGAATTATAAAAACAATCCTTGTATTGTATTTAATTGTATTAGATTAGAAAAGATAACAAAATTAATAAAATATTCTTTATTATTGGTTAAGGAAGATATTCACAATTTGAGTTACAAGTTGCAAGTTTTAAGTTAACCCACAAAATTTTTGGAATACAGATTGTATTAAAGTTTAATATCTATTTTTTTTTTGGTGTGTTGCATTGTACTTGTTTGTGTATTAAAATTAATAGAACCGACTCCTGAGATCACTAACAATACAACAAGTATCTAACATCAGCAGGCAAGGGAAGAGGTATAGTACACGGTGAGACAAAGAAAGGTTTGAATTTAACAATCAGCAGCTAACCAACATAAAAAAATATTTACACAAAAAACAAAGAACAACACAACAAACACAACTTTGGCAAAAAAATATTATTTCACAACAATTTTGACAAAATTATATTACACAACAATATATATCATACTTAATGAGCCTTCTCTT